GTCCTCCCTGTCAGACGCTGATGTGCATCCCCCCGGAGGGCGAGGCCGGGACCGAGGTTCCGGTCAAGGTGCTGAACTGCGACACGGTGACGCAGGTCAAAGACAAACTGCTGGACGCCGTCTACAAAGGAATCCCGTTTTCACAGAGACCTCAGGCCGACGACATGGACCTCGGTAACCAGAGACACACGACACAAGCAGGAAGAGTCAAAAAGCATCCGCAGACAGAAAAGATCAGCCGTCAAGAGTCAAAACGCTAAATGACAATTAAAGCCAGCAGTAACTGTCCTCTAGCTGTTTACCGCTAGCAGCAGAGAGGCATTAGCTTCAGCTAGCATAGCATGCGCTGTTTAGTTTTTTGTATTTTTATAATATCAGTATTTAAGTTTTTTGTTGTAATCACAAACATACATAGAGTGGGTTTAAATTTTAACTGACAAAATCAAACAGTTTACAAACTAACTTGACAAGCTCAAAGCTAACTAGCCTAGCTTAGCAGAGTCACGTTGTCAGAAGGATGTTCACGTTTTTCTAACTACAAAAACTACAAGAGCTAAAATGTTGGGAAGCAAAAAAACAGTTAGTTTGCTATTGTGGGCTGCTAATGTTAGCATGTTCATTTAACTAGCTTCTACCCTCAGTGATAGCTTAGCACTACTTCCAAGGCCAACAGTTAGCTTATCACTTGCTAGCAAAGCTGCTATTGGTTACTAATCAGGAATGACGTTTCATTGGTTACTGGTGTCTGCCTGTAGAGGGCAGTGCAGCACTGTTAGTGTGGCTAACATAGCGTGTGTGTGTGTGTGTGTGTGTGTGTGTGTGTGTGTGTGTGTGTCGTCAGAGTGGCGTCAGGGTCGACTGACCAGAATCATCCTGCAGGACGAAGACGTGACGACGAAGATCGAGAGCGACTGGAAGCGGCTGAACACGCTGGCACATTACCAGGTGAGCAGCTCGTCACCTGGAAAACAACAGCATTTAATTACTGGTTTATAAACGACATGAAGGAAACTGAAGTGGATGAAATCTAAATACGGAATTCTGCACAAGAGCTAAATATGCAAAATTATAACACAGTTCACTGAGCACAGTGTCATAATAGTATAATATAATATAGTAGTGTACTTTAGTGAAATACAGGTTTTTATAATGTAGTATAATGTAGCACAGTATATTATGATACACTACACCAACATATTGTAGTAGACAGGTATTAATAAACATGTGATGTAATAAAACATGAATATATTGTATAGTTTATATATGATGCTCTGTAACATAATATATTCAAATGTACTATAATTTATTTAAAAAGAAATCTCAATATAAAGTAACGTATATAATATAGTATGACATAGTATTATATAATATAATATATGTAATGTGACATTATGTAACAATGTCATGTAATAAATATAGTTTTATATAATATAGTATGACATAGTATTATATAATATAATATAATGTAATATAATATATATAATGTGACATTATGTAACAATGTCATGTAATAAATATAATTTTATATAATATAGTGCGTGTTATATTGTGATATAATACAACATTATATTGCAATAGAGTGGCATTAATAAACATGTCATGTAATAAAACATGATATATTGTATGATTTATATATGATGCAATGTGACATAATATTTTCAAATATACTGTAATTTATCTAAAATAAATCTAAATACAAAGTAGCATATATAATATTGTATGAGACAGTATTATATTATATTATATTATATTATATTATATTATATTATATATAATGTAGCATTATGTAGCAGTGTTATTTCGTAATATATTTTAACATAATAGTATGACAGTGTAATATATTATATTATAGTATGTTGTATATAATGTGACACTACGTAATATTGTCATTTCATAAACATAATTTTATATAGAATAGTACATGTTATATTATGATATAATACAACTTTATATTGTAATGAGTTATAGTTTAATAACGGAACACAACATATTATAATGTCCTATATTTTAATAAACTATAAACTGTAATTGAATGAAATTGTCATGAAACATATGGACTGCATAATATTCTATGATTTAATGCAATATAATTCTGTGTAATGTCGTATAATGTGACATCAGTAGTGAAGAGTTTACATGGTCTGAAATAGATAATGAACGGTTCTGTGCTGAGTTAGAGTTCATTAATAATATTAATGGGTGTGTTTTGCATTAGTTACATGACAAATGTTAATGTGTACATTATGAGACAGTATGGGGGATAATGAATGGTTATGTACTGAGTTACACTTCATTAGTTTTAATAAATGAGTGTGTTTGACAGCAGCTGCACACTACAAACGTGGTGTTGAATTAAAAAGTGAGTCGAGCTCCTGCAGCAGCTCCTGTGGACTTTATCGAGATCGTGGGCGGGATAAGAATCGAGCGGCGAGCGGATAATTAGTCAGCTGATTGATGGAGCGATCGGCTGACGGATGCTGTTGGCTCTGTGTTGCTAGGTAACGGACGGGTCGCTGGTGGCGCTGGTCCAGAAGCAGGTCTCTGCCTACAACATCGCCAACTCCTTCACCTTCACCAGATCGCTGAGCAGATACGGTACTGAATTCATCAATATTCATCAGTATTGATCAGTGTTGAGCCGCTAGCGGCCACAGGAGGGCGCTCATCTGTCTGTCTGTGCTTCAGAGTCTCTACTGCGGACGTCCAGCAGCCCAGACAGCCTGAGATCCAGAGCGCCCATGATCACGCCCGACCAGGAGACAGGTACGGTACCGGTACCACCTGGTACTACACAGCTACGAGTACTGGTACCACTGATCCTGCACACGTAGGAGTAATAATACTGCACAGGTAGGAGTACTGGTACTACACAGGTACCAGTACTAGTACTACTTCATAGTACACAGGTAGAAATTCTAATACTGCACAGGTAGGAGTACTGGTACTAGTAGTTAGTACACAGGTAGAAATTCTAATACTGCACAGGTAGGAGTACTAGTACCAGTAGTAACCAGATTTTTTAGCACTATATCACAACGTTAGTCTTTCGTAGTACTTTCCAAAGTACTCTAAACGCTTTACAGCGTTGCATTACAGAAAGAAACCAAACAAATCCAAAGTTTTCCAGACAGAAGCTCTTTGGTTACAGTCAGAAGAAGAAACTTGTCTCTGATCACAAACGGACGAGAGACGACGACAACGAGACACAAAATGACCACAAAGTGTTTCTGGTTGTTGATCCGGGATGTTTGTTGTTGTGACTTCAGGAACCAAACTGTGGCATCTGGTGAAGAATCACGAGCACAGCGACCAGCGAGAAGGAGACCGAGGCAGCAAGATGGTTTCTGAAATCTACCTGACCCGCCTGCTGGCGACCAAGGTAACACAACTACAACAACAACTAACCCTATCCCTCACAACTGTGACACAACTACAACAACACCTCGGCACAACCACATCCACAAACACTCAGTGGTGTTGGAGTTAAACTGTGATATGAGGTGCTTGATTTCAGAAGCATTTAGGGACCAAAACGTTGCTTATTGATCTTTCTTTGGTTAAATGATGAACTAGTTTGACTTGATCTGTAGACGTCGGCGTCCACACACGTGACAGTTGTTGGTTTTGTCACGTGTGTGTTGGTTTAAAACATTGGGAGTTTGTTCCAGAAGCAGGTCATCTAGTTCAAAGTGTGATTTCCTGCTTCAAGTATCTCATTCTGCATGTTGGTCCTTACACCACCAGGGGACACTGCAGAAGTTTGTGGACGACCTGTTCGAGACGGTGTTTAGCACCGCCCATCGAGGCTCTGCGCTCCCATTGGCTATCAAATACATGTTCGACTTCCTGGACGAGCAAGCCGATAAGCGGCAGATCAGCGACCCGGACGTCCGACACACCTGGAAGAGCAACTGGTGAGAGGAAATCACAAGATGATGGTGAAGAGTTTTCAGAGGAGACGAATGTTTCTAACAAACCTCTGTCGTCTGCAGCCTCCCTCTCAGGTTCTGGGTGAACGTCATCAAGAATCCTCAGTTCGTGTTCGACATCCACAAGAGCAGCATCACTGACGCCTGTCTGTCGGTCGTCGCTCAGACCTTCATGGACTCCTGTTCGACGTCCGAACATCGGCTCGGCAAAGACTCACCGTCCAACAAGCTGCTCTATGCTAAAGACATCCCCAACTACAAGAGCTGGGTGGAGAGGTAGCTAGCATGCTAACTAATGAATGTTACAACCAAGCTATGTTAGCTGGGTGAACAGGTAGCTAACATGCTAACTAATAAATGTAAGTTATGAAGGTCACTTAGCTGCTAGCAGTGAGAATACAGTAACTGACAAGTGAATATAGAGGATGCTAGCATGTTAGCCAGCTAATGCATTGCAGATCAACAAGTAGAGACTTACATGCAAGCTGTTTGACAAACTGGAATATAAAATGATAAGAGCATGGTGGGGAGGAAGCTAACACGCTAACCAATCTGTAGCAGCTGCTCAGAGTCAAAGCTGACATACTTGCCAATCTTTACATTAGCTTGGTGATGTAGCAAAGTCTGAAGTTGTTGACGACTGCTATCGGTGTCCTGCAGGTACTACAGGGATATTGCAAAGATGCCCAGCATCAGCGATCAGGACATGGACGCCTACCTGGTGGAGCAGTCCCGTCTCCACGGCAATGAGTTCAACACACTGAGCGCGCTCAGTGAGCTCTACTTCTACATCAACAAGTACAAGGAAGAGGTGAGGGAGTTAATAGCTTTCTGGTTTTTCACTGGTGGCTGTTGTTAAAGTTTTCTGCCTGCGGCTCTTCTATTGCCTTTAAGTTCTGCTCCTTCGACTTCCCGACAAGGCAGCAAAACGTCTGCAGTCAAATCGGTTACTCTACTGCAAGCACGAGGTTACAGCTCCATTTCTATTGTGCTGTGTCTATTGGAGACATGAAACAAAACCTTCTTGTTGTTTGGAGGTTTAATTTCTGGCATCTTTTCTCCATCTGCAGATCCTGACGGCGTTGGACCGGGATGGTTACTGTCGCAAACACAAACTGAGGCACAAACTGGAGCAAGCCATCAACCTGATGTCTGGGAGCAGCTGAGAGGAGGGGAAGGACGGATGGACTGAAGGACCGATGGACTGATGGGTGGATGGATGGATGGATGGATGACTGGGGAATGGGAAGAAGAATGGGGGAGGGGGACGTAAGGGCATTTTGTTTTACTGAACTGTCTGAACAGTCAGCTGAACTGCTCCATGTTGGACTGAACTGACAGCCACAGCTCTGGCTTAGCAATCAATCTATCAGTAATTTATTTGTCAATTGATGGACTGATTGATTTAAAGCATGACTTGCTGGCTGGGACCCCAACTACCTCCGTCTGGTGGATTTTGGGGTGGAAAATCAGTTTCCAAACTGATGTGGATACATTTGCAACTTCAACATGGAATGGAGTCATGTCTGGGGCAAAAAAAAACAAACCTTCCAGATGCATCTACCGGTTTGGATTAATTTCACTGCAGGTGTAAGCAGGGATCAAAGTGAGGAGGAGGTGGCTGTGGAAAGTCCTGGAAACTACGCAAAAGACTGTGTCAGGTTCCACCAAACAATACAGGACTAATCGACCTGACTTCAGGATTTCCAGAACTTTCTAGATGCTAGGTTGAAGAGCAAAAGGTCGAATCAAGTTTCCGATAAAACTACAGACTTCACCTTCAAGAAACCGACCTTAAGGATCAAGAAACTAAGATGGTCTGAAGGTCGTAGTGAAGACCTACGCCGAGGCCTCCTGCAGAAGTTCAAGCCTCTTTACTGATGTCGTCACTTTGGACCATTTATCCTCACCTTGAACCCTTAGCCTTGTCTGGAAGGATCTGGATCCACTGTAAGAAGTTCAGGTCAAGTTCAGTTCACTCAAGGAAGGAGTCGAGTCCCTCATTTGGAATATCTGACCCTGCCTCGAACTTGTTTGGAATTGGGAGGTTGTTTCAAGCTTTAATGAAGGAGAAGGAAGCAAATAAACTGATGTCCCAAAAACGTTTGACTTGAAATCACTGTTGAGTCTTGAAAGAGGTGGAATCCAGGTGGACTCGGAGGAAATAAGGACTCTATGAACAGAAACGATTTGACTTGACCTTGAACTGTTCGGCCTCGTCAGGATCCAGACGTTTCTAAGATGCTGTTTTAAATAACCACTCAAAGTTTTTTCTCTGGACAATCACTCTGTACCACAGCACACTGAGCCCGATGCCTACTGACCGACCAGTACCTGTGTCCATAACCCTACCCGTCCTCCCTCCAGCTTCTCTTCCTTTCTCTCCATCTTTTGCTTGACCTTGTCCCTTCTGTATCTCCTTTCCTTGTTTCCTCTTTCACCCCACCTTTGATTCCTCCTCCTCCTCGACCCTGCTCCGTCATTGGTCAATCGCACTATTGGCCAGGAAGACTCTTTAGTAATGTACTGCCCGACCAATCAAGACTGTGGAATTCACCAGAATCGTGAATGATTAACTAGAAATGAATAGAAACAAATATAGAGTTACGTTTTGAATACATTCCAGCACAGGCACACAGGCAAGGTCTGTAAATAAGTAGGTTGAATTTTTCAGAAGTGAAAAACTTCCAAAAGTGGACTAACCGGCATTTTTCAGGACCAGAACAACCTGGGAAACGGGATTCTGGATTCAGCACTAGTCTGCAAACTTTGGCGCTGTTGGTGCAGCGCTTTACCGTCCGACCTTGCACATACGCCACATACAGCCATGCTTTACAGCGCCATGCTAACCGTGCCCAGGGGAAATACTGTGCAGAGCTACAAGCCCAGTGCCATGTAAAGACCGGACCGGATCGCATCAGAACTGGACCGGACTCGGACCAAATCCGGATCGAAAACAACCCGGAACAGAGGTTTAACCGGACCGGACTCAAGAACTTTTAAGACTTGTGGCCATAATTGTAAGCAACAAAAAAAGAAAGATAATAATAATGATGACAAAGTATAAAAATAATACAAAAGAAGGAAAAAAATATCGAAATGTTAACATGTAATAAGAACTTTGTGGATTTGACAGTATGGATTTTAGAAAGCTGAACTTGTATAAAGCTGAACGTTATGCTACATCAGAGTCTGGAGAAGGAACGAGAGCCTGAAGACAGATCGACGCATCCGACCGAACAGCCGCATCCCCACCGGATCGGACCGAAACTAACTGGATTCGGTCCAGCCGAATGAGTCTTGCAGATCTGTGTGTGGAAAACCAGATGGATGTTTTGGTACTTTTGTTTGCCAGACTGGATGTTCTGACAGAAGAGGAGTGTCGGATGGAGGTCTGGGTGGTGTTCGGAGGGGTTCAGGTTGCTTTGGATGGAGTTCGTGCAGCGACATCCAGAAGGAGAACGACACCATCGTAGCAGTTCGCTGAAGTTATGCCCGTGAACAGAGATTGGACCAACTGTGAAATCAGAAAGCCAAACCCAGTGTGGAACACTTGCTCTCTGCAGACCTGAACCCTCCCAAACACCTTCTGTGGTAGAACATCTTCACTTCACTCAGCTGGCTTGTAGATCCTGTTCAGAGGCTCATTCTGCGGTCCACCGGTGATATTTGACCTTTAGAAAACTGTGCAGGTTAGTTCTCATCCCCAAAAGTTTGAGCTCAGATTCTGGAAAAAAAAAATTATTTGTGACCTGAATCTTGGGATGTGTTGTTGGGCTGTAACGGATCCAACAGTCAGAGGGCTTGGTTCTGATCTGGAAATGCCTTGTTGCATTCTGAACACATGCTGTGTTTAAAACCAGGTTCTGGTAGTAGAACTAATTCTGTTCTGGATCCATGGAGCCGAGTGCTCCAGCACACCAGACCACCAGTCTGGAGCAGAACCCCTACGAGTGCAGCTCAGGATAAACAGCTTTCTCTCTTAGTTTGTGCTTTAGCTTCATGAAGGAGAACCAGTTGTGAGCTGGTGGAAGCACCGCTCAGCGATCTGGACGGCTGACAGCCGACTGCCATAAATGGGATTAAAGATGTGAATAAGCGTCGACTGTGTTCCTCCACACGGCGCTGATTGGTTTTCAGATTTCTGTTTGTTTGCTCCTGGTGCAGGCAGATGAGCCACCGGTAGAGACTTCCAGGTTCAAGAACAAAAGCCCTGATTGGTTAACAAATCTATGAGCAGGATTGTTTGGTAGCTCTGACGTGAAGTGGAAACCGTCTCCATGTAGAACGCCTCCGTCGGCTCCTACAGCCGGTGTGTCGACTGAAGATGTTCTGCCACAGATGAAGCGTCTCTCTTTTGGCTCTCTGTGATGCCATAAAGCTACAAAGCACCTTTTTTTTTCTTTCTTGCTGATGTTTCACTGTCGTTTGAATTTTTGGGGCCAAAAGGACCCGAGTGGGGAAAGATGGCGGGAGGAAGAGGAGGAGGAAGGGTCCTGATAAAAGACTGCCTTTTAGATGATTAATTATAGAAGAGGGAGGGAAGCCACTACATACCAACACCACTGCTCGTCCTCGCCGTGTGTGTGTGTGTGTGTGTGTGTGTGTGTGTGTGTGTGTGTGTGTGTGTGTGTGTGTGTTTTCCTGCTGCTGCAGTGGAAACTCAGCCGTTAAATCGCTGATCGTATCTGCAGCTCAATTAAAAATCTTTTTCTTTACGGTCGCGCTGTTTAAATCGTCCGATCTTTATCTCCTTCGCTTTTGAAATCTCCGATCGTATCTCGTTTTTATTTTTTTATTTAAACACGAATCCCAGATCGCCCTTTAAACTCAAAGTCGTGTTCAATCGTGTCCTCGTCGCCATTTTGATCAGGATTTACCTCTGATGGCGTGAGAAGGAACACGAGCGAGAACGTAGAGGAGGTTCTGTCGTTCCTGAAGGTGAGGAAGGAGGAGAACCTGGTTTACTTCAAATGCAAAGAGGAGGAATAAATGTTAGAGGATCAGGATGAAAATAGGAGGTCAGAGTCTCTTTTTGCATGCTAAAGCGAGAGGAGGATGGAGGAGACGCTGCTGGAATACTGAGGAGGAGGAGAAGGAGAATACTGATCAGGGAGGAGAAGACGGAGGCAGCGTCATCCATCAAACCGGCCGAGGAGGGAAAGAACGAGAGGGAAGCTTTTCAGACCAACGCAAATACATTAGAGGAACGAGTCAGGCAGCGGTGGTGAGGCTAGAATCGCCTGCTGGTGGGCAGGTCTCTGGTTTTTATGATCTTCAGGCCTGGCTTAGTCTGGAGGATGCGTTGGACCGTCCGTGTAGGTAGCTTCTGATTTAGAGATGCCTTCAAACGGAACTCATGAGATGAAGACGTAAGAAGCCGTTTTCCAGCAGCACCATGACGTCACACAATCCGTCCTTCCCTTCCGTCGTCCATACAGGCGCTAGACGATGCGTCCTGGTGGCGCCGTAACGCGTTTCAGGAGATCTTACCAGCTTCTCATTTGCGTTAAGTTCAGATCTGCCACCGTTCGACGTCTCTGGAAACTCCTACGAACTTTTAAACGGACCTTCCTCGAAAGCCAGATTCAGTCAGAACACGGTTTTGACAAACTTTTTTAGTATAACTACAAGTTTGGTTTGAAATCGAGGAGGAGACAGAACATGAGGGAAGCATTCGTCCAATCAGGTGTGGTTAGTTTTTGTTGTAGGGGGTGGAGCCTGTGTTGGCGAGCACCTGTCAGTCATCTATGGTGGCACCGCCCAGTCGATCGGCGACCAATCGTCCAACACCGCTGTGGACTGGAACTGTAAAAAGGCCGCAGAATGAAGCCTGAACTTTGTTCCAACCACAAACAAACGAACAAAACACCTTCTCCAGGTACTTAGTTGAGCTCAAAAATGTTCTGCCTTCATTGGTTAAACTCAGAGATTATTTTTTGGCCTTCCCCTTCCAAAAATTCTCCAGATATTCGAACATAAAAAACCTCCATCGTTCTGTTTCCTACGTAGAACCGGAGTGATACCCGGCCACCACTGTTTGCTGTTGTTTCAGTGGGTTCTGGTGGGTTCCTGTCGGGTTGATTCAGAGGAACTTCCCCCCGCCAAGTTCCTGCCGCGGAAAGACGACGTTATGTTAGCATCTAAACGCCACCAAAGCTAAACC